CCCGCGTGAGGGCTGGTTTCGGTCAGTGCAATGGGGAGGCCCAGAGATCCCCCGGCCTTGCTGTTCCGAATGCGGCAACCCGAACGATCGCTGCCGCGATGCACTTCGCTGTTCGGATCTCGCTCGTTCCCCCGATGCGTGCTGCTGCCGATCGGGCCCTGTCCCTTCCTGACCTCGCTCTCTTTGGATTGTCGCCTTGTTTCTGGCCGGTGCCTTCGCTCGCCGAATCATTTCAGTCTGTTGCCCAGGGTTTTCAGACCAACCTTGGATCTCGCATTGCCACTTCACTCCTTCTCTCCGCTCCGGGCTAGCTGCTGCCGCTGCGCCTGCCCCCTTGCGCGTTCGCTCGCTCCTTGGCGGCCCTGAGCGCGCCCGTAGAGTTCGAGCGCATGGAATTAACAGCAGGTACCAATTCTGCACGAGTGAAGCGTTGGCGGCACGTTTGTCGAGCTGGTCCCCTGTCTCGATCGAAGAGGTCACGCGCTGCCCGCGGCCAAGAACTCGCTCGACGCTCGCCATTTGCTTGCCGACAGCTGCGTCTCAGGCCCTTCGCTTGTTGACTGGGGCGCGGACGACAACTCGCAGGTCTCAGCGGATAGAGCCACGCATGCGCCGCCATGGCCCCTCCGACCCTCTCGTCCGCGCGCGTGATGGTCCTGACTCTCTTGCTCTCCCCTCCTTTGTTTTTGTGGAGTTATCCAGCATCCCCCCCTTGCCCGCCCCACCTGTCGCCCGGTTCGGTCTCGTCAACCCATCTCCTGAGTCTCTCTCAGGTCCAGCCGCAGCGACGCACCATTTTGCTTTCGCCGCGCGCGGCGGCGATGAGGGGATGAACACGCGCGTCCGCCTCGGCCGCGCGCGAAGAGGAGGAAGAGGAGGCGGAGGAAGGCGAGGAGGAGGAGGAGGAAGCTGGAGGTCGAACTCGGGAGCAACCCCTGCTTCGGGAGCAGCCCCTGCTTCGACGGCCTCGCGCCCCCGACTATCGCAGTCCTCTCGCGACCTGTCTTCTGCGTGTCTTGTCGCCGGCCCTCGGACTGCTCGGCCCTGCATGATCATCCTGATCATGCTAGCCGACGGCCCCAGGGCCTGGGAGCCGTCCTGGGGCGCCGAAAAAGCGGCCAGCGCCCGCGCGAATCTTCCTCCGCGCTGCCCCGACGTCTCTTCGATGTCTCTGGCGGCCTCGGAAGCTCCCATCAATCCCCGCCCCTTCCCGCTTCCCCACCGGGGCCCGCCGTCGATGATCGTGCATCCTCACCACCGTTTTCGACTATATGGAAAAACTCTGGCGGCGCGCAAAAGGGGGTAGGGGGAGGGGGGAAGGCTTCTTAGAAGCACCCTGCTTCTTAGAAGGCCTCGGCCTTACGTCTATAGAGAAGGCCCGCGCCTTCTAAGAAGCAGGGGTGTTTCTAAGAAGACTCCCCCGCTCCCCCTCCCCCGCTCCCCCTACCCCCCTCTGCGCGCCGCCAAAAACTCCTCCTCCTCCTCCTCCTCCTCCTCCTCCTCCTCCTCCTCCTCCTCCTCCTCTTCGTCCTCTTCCTCCTCCCCCTCTCCGCCCGCAGCGGGGCCGAGCTCCCTGCCAGGCGATCCGGGAGCGCATGGCGACCGAGGCGGCGCCGCGCCGGCTGCCGGCAGGCCCAGGCCGCCCGCCGCCCTCCTCCCCGGTTCCTACTCCTCCTCCTCCTCCTCCTCCTCCTCCTCCTCCTCCTCCTCCTTTTTCCTCCTCCTCCTCCTCCTTCCCCTTTTCCTCCTCCTCCTCCTCCTCCTCCTCCTCCTCCTGCTCTCCCCCTCCTCCTCTCCTCCTCCTCCTCCTCCTCCTCCTCCTCCTCCTCCTCCTCCTCTTCTCCTCTTCCTCCTCCTCCCCTTTTCCTTCTCCTCCTCCTCCTCCTCCTCCTCCTCCTCCTCCTCCTCCTGCTCCTCCTCCTTCGCCGAGCCCCAGCACACGGGGCGTTCGCAAACGGGCCTGTGGCCAAAGGTGCGTTTTCCATGGCGTTTTAAAGGTACGGGTTTGCCGCGCACAAGTGCAAGGTAAGCGTGCCCCCCAGAGCTCTGATGATGCATCGGCGTTTTGGTCGTCCTGGCGTATATCGCGCACCCCTTGCGAGGCAAATGCCCTGTCCCCCCGTTCTCGCTTGAAGACGGCCCTTGGCTACCACCCCGTTTACGAGCGCCCCGTTTGCAGGTGCTTGGCCTCCTCCCTGGGCTCGAGGCAGCCTGCCGGGGGCTCTCCCCTGGACCGTCCAGGGGCCCATCTCTCTGTCTCTTTCTCTCTCTCTCTCTCTCTCTCTCTTTTTTCTCTCTCTCTCTCTCTCTCTTTCTCTCTCCCCCCTCTTTCTCTTTCGAAGAAGAAGAAGAGAAACAAACGCCATAAACAAACGCGTATGTTTATGACATGTTTTCGTTTTCTACTCCTCCCTGGGCTCGAGGCAGTCTGCCGGGGGCTCTCCCCTGGACCTCCCACTGGCCCATCTGTCGGGACGATCGCAGTGGAGACGGAAAGACACGATCGCAATGGAGACGGAAAGATTTGACGCGAGGGCCTCAAGCATTTCCGATTCAAATTGAGCAGAACTCACTGTCCGCGCTGCCGCGGACGTTGTGTACTGAAGAAAATAAGCCGCCTGCGCAACAGCGACCGCTGTCGTTTTTGGACAAGCTTTGTTGTTGGGCATTGTGTTTATTTTTGTCCGTCGGGCGTCCGAAATCCCGTCGGGAGCCTTGTCGAGACGGGGGTCAGTGTAAACAGGGTCAGCCAGGGCGCCAGATCTTGCAGCATCCTGCAGAGTCAGGGGTGCATTGACCCGGCTCAGGGCGCAGGATCCTGCAGGACCCTTCAGGATCTTGCAGGCTCTTGCCAAGCCTGACGGACCCGGGTCTGCATTGACCCGGGTCAGTGCGTCCCCGAGTCTCGTCAGGGGCTTCACGAACCCACACACCCTGGAGTCACAAAAAAACACCACGGAGGGCTTCTCGGTCTTTTCGGCCTGTGGGGGCCCTTGCCGGCCCTCGGGACCGTCAGACGCGGCGCAGGATGAGAAACCAGTCTCGGGGAATGGTTTGAGACTTCGCGGGGTCGACGTCACTACAGTCGGGGCCCTGAAGAAGGAACCCTTTTCGTTGGGGAGGGGCTCCGTGTTCCTTATTTGTCTCGCAGCTTGCCTGAGGTTGTCCGTAGGTTTTCGATGGGGAATCGAAGCTTAACTTATGGAAACAAGGGGCCTCGTTCCTTATTTAGGGTTCCTTAGGACAACGCCCCGACTGCACCAATGCACCAAGTTTGGGGTCTGGGTGCGGGGGTCAGCGCTGACGGGGGTCCGCCGCTTCCCTCTGGCCGGCCAGGGTCTGCGAGCCGCGCGGGGCCGCGTCGCCCCGCGTGCCCTCCGCGGGCCTTACGCTCCGCAACCCGAACACAGCTGGCCGGGCTCCTCGCGACAGGGCCCATGGCAGGCCCGGGCTCTTGTGCTGGCCCGGGTTGGTGGCTGGTTCGCCCCCTATCGCGACGGTCTTTAGACAGGGCTCTTAGCATCGCTCGGACGTGTGCATTTTTCCTTCGGCGAGGACAGTCGAGGAGCATCCTTGATCAGTTGGCGAAGAAGCCTCGCACGAAACCGACAAAAAACACAGGGAATGGACGTCCAAGCGATGGCGAGGGCTTCAAGGGCCCCTGGCGGTCCCTTCCGTTTCGCGAATCGTTCCTTGCGTGTATGGCGCCTTGTGGTTCTAGATTGTCGCCGATGCCTCTGTGGGCCAAGCGACAAGGTTCATACAGTTACGGTGACCTGTGGAATCGGGACGTCTACCCACCCCTACCTGGACAGCATCAGTAGATACAATCCGCTCTGGACCCAAGGATACGGAGGGAAGTGGAGCCGTCCAATGATTGTAATCAGTGATTGTGGAAATAAGCTCTTCCAGGCTTGCAGGACATGATCAAGCCAAAGAACTGGACATGTGAGTGTGCTGCAATGTTCTCTTCTCATTTGCAACATGGTATTTCGTGGTTTCGTACAATCTCCACTGCTCAAGCTTCCCCGCCGTAGCAGATCCAGGCCTTGGCAGCTTAGTTGACAGCCGGTGGCAAAGCAGATGCCGAGAAAAGCGAGCTGCAGATAAACTGATCCAAGCCTTGCAGAAGGCTAGCCCTGGGGCCATACCCAAGCCACCTGCACAGGAGTTGCAGCAGGCCGCGGCCCGCCTCGAGCGAGGGCGCAAAACTCTTGACCAGTCCAAGCAGCGGTGGATTTGGGCCAGGCAGGAACTCGAGCGCAGCGAGGAGAAGCTGCGCAAGTGCACGGGTGAGGTTGCGGCTGCAGAACAGGAGGAGATTGAGAGGGCGCGCTCTTTCCTGCCACTAGTCGAGGGAGCTGCACTGGACATCCGGGAGGTGTTAGATCGCAAGCTGAATCTGGAGGTCTCGTTGGGGGGGTCGACCTCCACGAGCTGGGCCCGGAGGCTGCGCACCATGACGCACTCGAGGAGGCTGAGACAGATCGGGAAGCCATGCTCCAGGAGGCGGCGCAGGATAGCTACGCCGTCATCGACCCCAGGAGCACCAAGGCCAGAGTGGCCACCGTCATAGAGCGCGCGGAGGAGAGGAGGGGCAACGATGGCGCAGCCCGCGCGCCATGGGCGAGGCCAGGGGCAGACGCCGCCGCCAGCCGCAGGCTCTGCGGCGACGGGCCCAGCCGGCCAGCGCCGGCCTGCGGACCCCGCCCTCCGGAGTTGCCGCGGCCGTGTCGGCGGCTGCGCGTGGCGGCGCCGCGCGCGGGCTCCGGGCGGAGGTTGGCGGCATGGTGGCGAAGCTCCGTGCCGGGACGGAGCCACGGGGCGCGTCGAGCGTTGAGGGCACGCAGAAGCTTTCACATCAGCAGTCTGTCCGGACGGGGACTAAGAAAGGGCAGGAGCACTCTGAGTGGTGGAGTGCAGGACACAGGCGTCATGCTTGAGCTGCACGTGCTGGCAGGGGATCGCACGAGTGTCCTGCATGATTGGGAGCGGCTCGG